CAGTAAGGCACTCAATACGTTTGGCACATTGCTTAAAAAAACATGAACAAATAATTTTAAGATGTTTTAGTCTCCCAGGCATCTGTCAGATTTATTTTCCTCAGAATATCTTAAAAGCGAGTCTTTGAAACATTCAAGTGGCTTTAAGCTCGGAAACAATCTTTTGTCACCACTTCTGAGAAGACGAGAAGAGACATCCGCTTGCATCATGAATTTTATTCCTCATGTTTTCAGAACAGCAGTAAAACCATGGGGTCCGGCCCCTGTTAATGGCATCCACGCATGTCCACAGCAGTCACAACCGACATCAATTGAGTCCAAAAAACAAAAACAGAACACTTGAGCTCGTTCCACCTTTTGTTCCTTTGCTCAAAGACAGCACAAAAAAGATTCTATTTACTGCTGTGCAAAGCTCAGCCAACATAATCAATTCATGAGGGAACTGATTATATATTTTTGTCTATGAAATGAGGCACATGAACACAACTTTTCACACACACACACTCAAAGAACAGCTCAGTGCTGTACATGTATTGATGTAGTGGATCTGTGCACTGTATACTGCAGCCACACCAAGATGCGCATGGAAATAAAAATCTCTTTCATTTAGACATTAATCTGTCACAGTTCTCCAGGCAAGACGCAATGACCTCAGCACCAGGCCTGCAGGAAATCACAGTGGGGGCGCCATGAAATTCATTTATAATTCATCCGGGCCACACAGCACTTTATTCTCCACGGCAGAGGCTTATAGAGACAACTTAAAGCCAGATCTGATATATTTCATTAAACCTCATATATGGCTCATTAATTATACTTGTGTTAAGCTCGCTGATGTAGATCTCTTTCCAAGACTCCATAGGGGCCAACATTGTAATTTATATTTATAAAGGCTTACAGGGGTTGCGCAAGCAAAAAAATTTTTTTGAGAGAAAGAAACTCACTCGTTGCATGTGCGTGATGATCTTCCAACCATCAGAATTCACACCGTATATGTCCGGCTTAACGGAGAAATCATTTTAAGCTCATTTTAATCAAATTAAACTTGCCAAGTGTGAACATCCTAAAAATACTTTCATTAACTCATCCAAAAAGACTCTTAAAAATGTGGATATTATGCACTACCTGACAAAATTCTTGTCTTCGATCCCAGTTGTAAGAGCAACAAATAATAACCTGACTTCTAGTTGATCCTTTGGAAAAGTGGCAGAAGGTAGATATTTTCGATGAATCATTCGTTGAACTGCATCCCAATCATCACAAATACTGCAGAAGACCTATTGGAATTCAAATGGAAGATTTTCATAGAAATCAGTCAAGTTTGGTGAAGGAAAAAAATCATGGTTTGCGGGTTACATTCAGTATGAAGGAGTGTGAGAAATCTGCAGAGTGGATGACAACATCAACAGCGTGAGGTATCAAGACATTTGTCTTGAATATTGCATTGAAAATCACAGAAGAAGGTAAGTTCTTTAGCAGGATAGCATTCCTTTTAATATTTCACATCAAAGTTCCTGCAAAGAATATCAAGGTGCTCCAGGATTGGCCAGCCCAGTCACCAGACATAAACATTATTGAGCATGTCTGGGGTAAGATAAAGGAGGAGGCATTGAAGATGAAACCAAAGAATCTTGAACTCTGGGAGTCCTGCAACAATGCTTTCTTTGCCATTCCAGATGACATTACTAATAAGTTGTTTGAGTCATTGCAGAGATGTATAGATGCAGTCCTCCAAGCTCATGGGAGTCATACACAATAATTATTCTTTTTCCACTGCACCATGACTTTATATTCTATACTGTACATCATTTCTGTTATGTGACAAGACCTTACTGCCGTAATTAATTAATTAAAACCAAGGCGTGATCATATTTTATTTTGGTAACAAAATAATCTAGAGGTCTTTGCCTTTCATGAAAGCCACTTCTAATACCAAATGATCAACTAGAAGTCAAGTTATATTTGTTGTTCCTAAAACTTGGATAGGCGACAAGACTTTTGTCAGGTAGTGTACAATGTCCTTTCTGCACAGCGACATGGTCTCAACCTATTGTTTACGATTGGTCTTCAAACCAGTGAAATGTATAAAGAATGTTTATTTAAAACTAGAAAATCTGGCTTTAAGTAAAGCTAATCGCTACGAAGCCACGGCTTAATTTCTAACAGTTAGAATTGTTTTTATTTAGCCTACACTGAATGGCGCTAACCGATTGATCTTTTGTGTGTCGTTGAATAACTCAGAGCCCCGGCGGGATTCGCCACCAGCCCTGCTGCGACATTGTCTGAATTTGCAGCTGATCCCAGTTTGGCAATGTGCAAAAGAGTATTACACCAGCGCTTAATCCAGACACATCTGGAGCATGCTGGCGGCGTGCTAATCAGCTCTGGGAGGATTAGCATCAGGCTAACGTCATTCCGCAAGGCAAGTCTTGTCTAGTCTAGTCCGGCTGAAAGCCTCCTCTCGTTTTAGAAGGAATCTCGCAGGAAGGGGACCGGCAACACTAGTTTGACTTTGATGTATGCTAAGTCTATTTGCCATGTCGTATTTTATTCTGATTTTGACTGTCTGTGAGGGAAACCTGGTTGTTATTTTGCTATAAAACCACCATAAACATGCTGCACTCTATATTTAGATTTGTAGTCAACCAAAAAAACTTTTTATTTCTTTTCATTCAAGTATCTTATCCCTTCTGGTCGTTGATATTGTTTAAGGTTATATCCATCTGCCATGCACTCTCAGAAATAAAGGTACGTGAGTTGTCACTAGAGTGGTACCTTTTTGAAAGGTATACATTTGTACCTAAAATGTCCATATTAATACCTCAAGGGTACATATTAGTACCTAGAAAGTACAAAAGTGTTTCTTTTAATTTTTTTAGATACTAATATATATCGTTGAGGTATTAATATGGACCTTTTAATTACAAATTTGTACCTTTCGAAAATGTACCACCCCAGTGACAGCTCACATACCTTTATTTCTGAGTTTGCTAATACATTAGACATCCTAGCACTTAAGATACTGGCTTTGTGAATAATCTGAATGGTCACTGCTAAGAAAAAAAAAGTCTTTGTGAAATAAGGGTGTAACAATACACGAAATCATAACAAAAAATGTTTAAAAAGGATCTTTTAGTTTGGTAGGAATATTTCCTGAATAAATACAGTGTTTTTTTGACCACTGCATGTTCAACTTAATTAGCAACTTCTAGATTTATAAATATTAATCAGTTGATATTGATTCCCAAATCCAAAGGAAGATCATTTAGTCTATTGAACATGTATTCTTTTGGATTAGATCTGAAAAATAGTTGAAGCTTTTAAAGCAACCACCCCAAACATTACATACAGGTACATTAGATTACCTGCTCCTATAGTTAAAGATAGCAGGGCATAAATGGCTTTTGATTTAAATGCCCATTTATATCATATTATTTAAGAAAGTATCACAGAAGCGCAAATTTAATAGATTTTTTTATAAAAACAAAATAATAAATATGTGATTAATAAAATGAAAATTTTACAAATTGAAAAAGACTATTACACTTTCTATATTTATTCATTTCCCTTCAGCTTAGTCCCTTATTTTTCCAGGGGTTGCCACAGCGGAATGAACTGCCAACTATTCCGGTGTTGTGACATTTTATCCTACCCATCAGATTATGTTGAGTATACCAACACTGTATTTGAATAGTTCTGAGGTTGGGGTTAGGGATTAGGTAGGTTAGGGCAAGATTACAGCTTCATATCACTCTACTCCACATTCAAATTTACGTTGGTAGCAAAATTTGATGGGTAACAAATTGAGTAATCAAAACGTGCTACCTACTTTTAGAACAGGAGGTAGGACAATTTGACAAGCTATATATATATATATATATATATATATATATATATATATATATATATATATATATATATATATATATATATATATATATATATATATATATATATATATATAA